TTTTTAGAAAATTTCATATGCAAAGCGTATTTACATTGTAAATTTATTGTTTTATATTGTGTGTGTTTGTTAATGTAATCATAATTTATTTTTCATTTTTATTTTAGTTATTTCAGAACTTATTTTTTTAACCTTTTTAACAAGGGAAGTAACTGCCGTTAAGAAATAAAGTACTAGTAATTAACGTTGTTATTTCCCTTTGACCACTAACCTCCGTTTGATGTGTCGATGACGATCTCGTTGCTTTTGTTGGCCAAGGCCTCAGCGACGTCGCCCTTGACGGTGCAGCCAGCGGCGTGTCCCAGCTCCTTGTCGCCCACCTTGATCTTGAATGGGCTGTTGTTGATGTTCTTCTCCTGCCTCAGCACGCACACGACGTACTCACCTTTCTGACGGGGGGTGAAGTAGGCGATACCTGGGGGGGGGGGCAATGGTACATTAGTCACGTGATTGGTGGAGGTGGGGAGTGAAGTTGGCTACATCTCGGTAATAATATTAGACTACATTGAGGGGGTGGTACTCAGAAGTGTGACGTGAATTTACGGGAGGCGCCGGTGGGAAGTTTTGTGATAGTGTGTGACAACATGGGGGGGGGGGGGGGGGGGGTTAGAAAATCGTTTAAAAAACCTTGACGTCATTTATGAATGACCCCTGAGGCAACGATGTGACACCCTGACCTAGGGAGACATTTTGTTATTGTGAAGTTAACTAGAAGGCAGACAGAACTGCACCGACTTAAGGATTTAACTTTTCTTTACAATATATGGTAAGGGGAGATAACAAAACAAAGAAGGAAAAAAAAATGTCTCCCTTCACGCTAACATATTTTCCTGGAAAAAAACGGACACAATACATCGGGAACAATCTCTCCTATAAATAAATGGGGAATCAATTTTACACTATGCACCTACACAATTTTAATACGAAATTTCAATATGAGGGTAGTTTTCACCATTATATCAGGTGGCTCTGTGGCGCAACGGTAGCGCGTCTGACTCCAGATCAGAAGGTTGCGTGTTCAAATCACGTCAGGGTCAGCTAAGTTTTTTTGTAATTTTCTTTTTTCACTATTTCAACAGTAGCAGCAGTTGGTGGAGAATAAAGATAAATCTAATCTACGTAAATCTACTGAACCAGCTCCATGTTGCCCCCCCCCCCCCCCAACTTACCGAGTTCCCCATTCTCCATCTTCTTCAAGATGATTGGTTCGATCTGTCCCCCTGGGGTCTGCAGTGTCCCCACCAGGTCGACGATGTCGGGCTCGATGATCTTGAGGGAGTACTCGGCGCTGTTACCCAGCGACAAGGTGGACCTTTTCCTGCCTTCACCTGCAGACAGGTCATGGACATGTCAGGTCACAGGTCATGGTGTCCGTCTATGGTCTGACACACTAGTTAAAGACACCAACAAACATACACACCAACACACAAACACACAAACACACAAACACACGGATAGACTGGCACATACATATTATCATATAGATACATGTAAAGACTCATCTCATTTACATGATAACATACAATAAAAGGCATATGCTGATTGGTAACTAAATACACCCCACGCCCAGATTCACACAGATTCAACCCATATCGAAATACAAGAGACATCCAAACACACACACACACACACAAACTCATACATCCCACCACAACTAGACCCCCACCCCTTATGAACTAACGACCACTTGAAGGGTTTGCCATGACACCAGACCCCCCTCTAACCCAGCGACCCCTTACCTGAAACCTTGGAGACAAATGGTGACCCCTTGATGGGCTTGCCATGGTATTTGATGTTGATGTTGTAGGCGCCGGGTGTCATGGGCATGTAACTGAAGTTTGCTGAACCATCGGGGTTATCTGCCCGCTGTAGATCAACCTTGGCCGGCCCATCGATCTTCACATCAATGTCCTCTGTGGTGGGGGGGGGGGGGGGGTTAAGAAACAACATCAGTGACCTTTTGGGGTCATTACAAGGTCAAAAAGTATAACGAGGTCAATAGAGCACAGGTATCAGCTTGGATGGAAACATTTAGTCCTGAGTGTGCCTCGTTTACCTCCCCTAACTTACTTGAGATGCCTTGCTTACCTCCCCTAACTTACTTGAGATGCCTTGTTTAGCGCCCCTGACTTACTTGAGGTGCCTTGCTTACCTCCCCTAACTTACTTGAGATGCCTTGTTTAGCGCCCCTGACTTACTTGAGGTGCCTTGTTTAGCGCCCCTGACTTACTTGAGGTGCCCTGTTTAGCGCCCCTGACTTACTTGAGGTGCCCTGTTTAGCGCCCCTGACTTACTTGAGGTGCCCTGTTTAGCGCCCCTGACTTACTTGAGGTGCCCTGTTTAGCGCCCCTGACTTACTTGAGGTGCCCTGTTTAGCGCCCCTGACTTACTTGAGGTGCCCTGTTTAGCGACGACGGTGAAGCTGACTGTGTCACCACTGAGACCCCCCCCCCCCCACTTACTTGAGGTGCCCTGTTTAGCGCCCTTGACTTACTTGAGGTGCCTCGTTTAGCGCCCCTGACTTACTTAAGGTGCCTCGTTTAGCGCCCCTGACTTACTTGAGGTGCCCTGTTTAGCGACGACGGTGAAGCTGACTGTATCACCACTGAGCCCCCCCCCTGACTTACTTGAGGTCCCTTGTTTAGCGCCCCTGACTTACTTGAGGTGCCCTGTTTAGCGACGACGGTGAAGCTGACTGTATCACCACTGAGGCCCCCCCCCCCCTGACTTACTTGAGGTGCCCTGTTTAGCGCCCCTGACTTACTTGAGGTGCCCTGTTTAGCGACGACGGTGAAGCTGACTGTGTCACCACTGAGACCCCCCCCACTTACTTGAGGTGCCCTGTTTAGCGCCCTTGACTTACTTGAGGTGCCTCGTTTAGCGCCCCTGACTTACTTAAGGTGCCTCGTTTAGCGCCCCTGACTTACTTGAGGTGCCCTGTTTAGCGACAACGGTGAAGCTGACTGTATCACCACTGAGCCCCCCCCCCCCCCCCCTGACTTACTTGAGGTCCCTTGTTTAGCGCCCCTGACTTACTTGAGGTGCCCTGTTTAGCGACGACGGTGAAGCTGACTGTATCACCACTGAGGCCCCCCCCCCCCTGACTTACTTGAGGTGCCCTGTTTAGCGCCCCTGACTTACTTGAGGTGCCCTGTTTAGCGACGACGGTGAAGCTGACTGTGTCACCACTGAGACCCCCCCACTTACTTGAGGTGCCCTGTTTAGCGCCCTTGACTTACTTGAGGTGCCTCGTTTAGCGCCCCTGACTTACTTAAGGTGCCTCGTTTAGCGCCCCTGACTTACTTGAGGTGCCCTGTTTAGCGACGACGGTGAAGCTGACTGTATCACCACTGAGCCCCCCCCCCCCCTGACTTACTTGAGGTGCCCTGTTTAGCGACGACGGTGAAGCTGACTGTATCACCACTGAGGCTCCCCCCCTGACTTACTTGAGGTGCCCTGTTTAGCGCCCCTGACTTACTTGAGGTGCCCTGTTTAGCGCCCCCGACTTACTTGAGGTGCCCTGTTTAGCGCCCCTGACTTACTTGAGGTGCCTCGTTTAGCGCCCCTGACTTACTTGAGGTGCCCTGTTTAGCGACGACGGTGAAGCTGACTGTGTCACCACTGAGACCCCCCCTGACTTACTTCAGGTGCCTCGTTTAGCGCCCCTGACTAACTTGAGGTGCCTCGTTTAGCGCCCCTGACTTACTTGAGGTGCCCTGTTTAGCGACGACGGTGAAGCTGACTGTGTCACCACTGAGTCCCCCCACCAGACCGGTGCCGAAAGCTGTGATAAAACTGTTGTCAATCTTGTCCACCACACAGGAGAAAGGTGATCCTGGGGAAGGTGACACACAGCGTTAGATGATTGGTGATCTTGGGGAAGGTGACACACAGCGTTAGATGATTGGTGATCTTGGGGAAGGTGACACACAGCGTTAGATGATTGGTGATCATAGGGGGGTGATACATCATTCGATGAAAGGTGATCTTAGGGGGGTGATACATCATTAGATGAAAGGTGATCCTAGAGGGAGGGGGGGTCGATACACGTCGTTAGATGATTGGTGATCTTGGGGAGAGGGGTGATACATCATTAGATGAAAGGTAAACAAAAGACTGCGAACGCGGAATTTTAACCCCAAGTAACAACCACAACAATAACAACAACATCACAACCACTCCCACCACCTCCACCATCACCCCCACCACCCCCACCATTATCACCACCACCACCATCAACAATCACACATCGCTGTACCAAAGTGTATCTTCTGTACTTAAGGCGAGTGTAATCAGCCAATCAGGACCGTTGATAAGATCACGTGGGTTGAGGTACAAGCGCGAGACAGTCGGCCATGTTGTAAACATTTACGGCGGGAAAACAAACAGCTCTTCGATGCTGGTAGACAGTTTTCTGTTCAGGGGCTACAGGGTGTGGAGGTTGGGGGTGAGTGATGTGTGGGGGTGAGTGATGTGTGGGGGTGTGGAGGTGTGTGAGAGTGAGAGTGATGTGTGTGTGAGAATGATGTGTGGGGGTGAGTGATGTGTGGGGGTGTGGATGTGTGGGGGTGAGTGATGTGTGGGGGTGTGGAGGTGTGTGAGAGTGAGAGTGATGTGTGTGTGAGAATGATGTGTGGGGGTGAGTGATGTGTGGGGGTGTGGAGGTGTGTGAGAGTGAGAGTGATGTGTGTGTGAGAATGATGTGTGGGGGTGAGTGATGTGTGGGGGTGTGGATGTGTGGGGGTGAGTGATGTGTGGGGGTGTGGATGTGTGGGGGTGAGTGATTTGTGGGGGTGAGTGATGTGTGGGGGTGAGTGATGTGTGGGGGTGAGTGATGTGTGGGGTGTGTGAGGTGTGGGGGTGAGTGATGTGTGGGGTGTGATGTGGGAGGGGGGGGGAGAAACAGGTGCACATGCTGAAGACTCTGTGGCATGTCCCTGAGTCCCACTCTTGGGTACCTTACTCATGTTAGCGGCAGTACTGACCACACTTTGCCTCTAAATGCCGTGGTCACAGAAGTATGACAGAAGCAGTTAAAATCTACTTCACCTACTCTATTTACTGCCAGGTCAGATCGGTAATTTGTACATTCAATTAATTAGATGTTTACTTAATTAACTTTGGCCCCTGTTTGTTTAGAAAAAAGACCAGTTTTAGATAACACCCTGGTAAATACTGTTTCAGTTCCTACTCAGCGATGTAGTGACTAGCTCGGGGCGCTTTTAAAACTAAAGAATTTGATAGTCAAGTAGGAATAAAGTATGGAATAAAGTATGGAATAAAGTATGGAATAAAGTATGGAATAAAGTATGGAATAAAGTATGGAAAAAAATATGGAATAAAGTGTGGAATAAAGTATGGAATAAAGTATGGAATAAAGTATGGAATAAAGTATGGAATAAAGTATGGAATAAAGTATGGAATAAAGTATGGAATAAAGTGTGGAATAAAGTATGGAATGAATTTTGGAATAAAGTATGGAATAAAGTATGGAATAAAGTATGGAATAAAGTATGGAATAAAGTATGGAATAAAGTATGGGTAGAATTCTAATTGTAAGATTGTAGCAAGCGTCAGACAAGACTGTGACACATAAGGGATGGTGAGGTGACGTCAAGTTGTCTGCTTCTAGAATTAACTCTGGCTAGTTTAAAGACGTCAAATAACGTGTCAGTATGACCGAGTCTGGCCAGGCTAGTATTATAACAAGTTACTAATGATATCAACAAGTTTTACACAACAAGTTACTAATGATATCAACAAGTTTTACACAACAAGTTATAAATTATATTAACAAGTTTTACACAACAAGTTATAAATTATATTAACAAGTTTTACACAACAAGTTATAAATTATATTAACAAGTTTTACACAACAAGTTATAAATTATATTAACAAGTTTTACACAACAAGTTATAAATTATATTAACAAGTTTTACACAACAAGTTGCTAATGATATCAACAAGTTTTACACAACAAGTTATAAATTATATTAACAAGTTTTACACAACAAGTTACTAATGATATTAACAAGTTTTACACAACAAGTTACTAATGATATTAACAAGTTTTACACAACAAGTTACTAATGATATCAACAAGTTTTACATAACAAGTTACTAATGATATTAACAAGTTTTACACAACAAGTTACTAATGATATCAACAAGTTTTACACAACAAGTTACTAATGATATCAACAAGTTTTACACAACAAGTTACTAATGATATTAACAAGTTTTACACAACAAGTTACTAATGATATTAACAAGTTTTACACAACAAGTTACTAATGATATTAACAAGTTTCACACAACAAGTTACTAATGATATTAACAAGTTTTACACAACAAGTTACTAATGATATCAACAAGTTTTACACAACAAGTTACTAATGATATCAACAAGTTTTATACAAGTTACTAATGATATTAACAAGTTTTATTACTGCGATCACCAGCGTTAAAAATGATTACTAGATCAATCCCACATTACAAACATTCATTTTTTCTGAGCGATGTTGCAGTGAAATCTAACAAACACCGCCCACACAACTGGAGACGAAAGGAAACTTAAAAAATATTTTCGGATTGAAGAATACACACCATGGCAACACCCCCCCCCCTAACCATTGACGTCATCAGGGCTGTTTTTATGTCAAGAAGCGTTTATCATCGTAGGTTTTGTTTTGGCCATCGTTCAAATAACAGGGGTTAACGTTCCTGTTTTAAACAAGCAACATTCAAATAACAGGGGTTAACGTTCCTGTTTTAAACAAGCAACATTCAAATAACAGGGGTTAACGTTCCTGTTTTAAACAAGCAACATTCAAATAACAGGGGTTAACGTTCCTGTTTTAACCAAGCAACATTCGAATGATTTCTTTTGTCAAGAAGGCTTAACTCCCCTTATTGGTTCAGCGTTCACCATCTTGATTGTAGCTTCAATGTCTGGCTGTGTGTGTGTGTGTGTGTGTGTGTGTGTGTGTGTGTGCGTGAGTGTGCGTGAGAGAGAAAGCATTAGGCAGAAAATATTTCAACCTTTACCTTTCCATCCTTTATGAAACAATTATACGTGTAGCAAAGATCTAAAGAAAATCACCCCACCCCTCTCCTCCCCCACCCCACCCCTCTCTTCTCCGACCCCACCCCTCCCCTCCGTGCGCCCAAATGTTCCCATCACCCACAGGTAACCAAACAATGTTATACGATGAGCTCACGAGAAAAAGCACGTGCAATCGTTACCTCGTGACCTCGCCTTTTGTCCCGGCACATGTTGCACCCCCCCAGCCCAACACCTCACATTTCAGCGTTACCCCACCCCGCCCCCAAATACAGGAGGTCATTTTGGCCTATCACCCGCCGAGATAAAATATCCATTTCAATTTAGCAAATGGCACCACTGACGTAATGGTTTCAATTGACCACACGCTGATTGTCTGTAGGTGTTGAGGTGTTGGGGTGGTGGGGGTGGCTACATTTGTCTGTAAGTGTTGGGGTGTTGGGGTGTTGGGGTGTTGGGGTGTTGGGGTGGTGGGGTGTTGGGGTGTTGGGGTGGTGGGGGTGGCTACATTTGTCTGTAAGTGTTGGGGTGTTGGGGTGGTGGGGGTGGTGGGGTGGTGGAGGTGGCTTCATTTGTCTGTAGGTGTTGGGGTGTTGGGGTGGTGGGGTGTTGGGGTGGTGGGGGTGGCTACATTTGTCTGTAGGTGTTGGGGTGTTGGGGTGTTGGGGTGGTGGGGTGTTGGGGTGGTGGGGGTGGCTTCATTTGTCTGTAGGTGTTGGGGTGGTGGGGTGGTGGGGGGGTGGGGGGTGGCTTCATTTGTCTGTAGGTGTTGGGGTGTTGGGGTGGTGGGGTGGTGGGGTGGTGGAGGTGGCTTCATTTGTCTGTAGGTGTTGGGGTGTTGGGGTGGTGGGGTGGTGGGGTGGTGGAGGTGGCTTCATTTGTCTGTAGGTGTTGGGGTGGTGGGGTGGTGGGGGGGTGGGGGGTGGCTTCATTTGTCTGTAGGTGTTGGGGTGGTGGGGTGTTGGGGTGGTGGGGTGGTGGGGTGGTGGGGGTGGCTTCATTTGTCTGTAGGTGTTGGGGTGGTGGGGTGGTGGGGTGGTGGGGGTGGCTACATTTGTCTGTAGGTGTTGGGGTGTTGGGGTGTTGGGGTGGTGGGGGTGGTGGGGTGGTGGAGGTGGCTACATTTGTCTGTAGGTGTTGGGGTGTTGGGGTGTTGGGGTGGTGGGGGTGGTGGGGTGGTGGGGTGGTGGAGGTGGCTTCATTTGTCTGTAAGTGTTGGGGTGTTGGGGTGGTGGGGTGGTGGGGTGGTGGGGGTGGCTACATTTGTCTGTAGGTGTTGGGGTGGTGGGGTGTTGGGGTGTTGGGGTGGTGGGGGTGGCTACATTTGTCTGTAGGTGTTGGGGTGTTGGGGTGTTGGGGTGGTGGGGGTGGCTTCATTTGTCTGTAGGTGTTGGGGTGGTGGGGTGTTGGGGTGTTGGGGTGGTGGGGGGTGGCTACATTTGTCTGTAGGTGTTGGGGTGTTGGGGTGTTGGGGTGGTGGGGGTGGCTTCATTTGTCTGTAGGTGTTGGGGTGTTGGGGTGTTGGGGTGGTGGGGGTGGCTTCATTTGTCTGTAAGTGTTGGGGTGTTGGGGTGGTGGGGTGGTGGGGTGGTGGGGGTGGTGGGGTGGCTACATTTGTCTGTAGGTGTTGGGGTGGTGGGGTGGTGGGGTGGTGGGGTGGTGGGGGTGGCTTCATTTGTCTGTAGGTGTTGGGGTGGTGGGGTGGTGGGGTGGTGGGGGTGGTGGGGTGGCTACATTTGTCTGTAGGTGTTGGGGTGGTGGGGTGGTGGGG